ATATATCTATAATAATAATTAAGATCTTTTTTTCTGTACATATTTTTTTAAATCATTTTACTCTTTTATAAATCCTTTCAACTCAATCACATATATTTTATTTTATATTTTTTTTCCATTTCATTAGTAATCACCTCTATATTTTTAATAATGATTTATATTTATTATTTTTAAAAATAATTCACAGAAACATGCTTTTGTACCTTGATTTTAAAATAATTATAGTTATAACGATATCTTACTCAAAATTTTATATATTCTTTATTCTATAATTTAATTATATATAATATTAATATTAATAATTTATATTAAACTAATTTAACTTTTTTAATTATAGTTTGATAATTAGATTAATAATTTTATATATAATTGTTTTAATATAACTAAAAATTTCACATTGTTTAAAAATAAAATTAAAAATATTTTATAAATATTTTATTTTTTAATCACTAAAACTTCGAATAATACTTTAAACATTATAATCTTAACAATGTCAATAAATTTACGATTTATTTGATCTCGTCTCATGTGAAACTCATGTATCATTCAATCCTACTTGCCTTTGCACTCACTCTGCCTTAAACTTTTTCCAAAACCTGATTTTTAATATATCCATTGAGTACATGGTTAGGTTTCAATTATATAAAGATTCATTCATTCTAAAATTATTAATAGAAAAATATTTCCTACCATACTTATCCGGATAGCACTAGCTGGGTAGTTCCTCTTTTGGTCCTTCATGCTATTTCAGTTCTATCTGTTATGCGGATCTAAAACTATAGTGCTTCTTGTAATGTAGGATATTATATTTGTGCACATGAACTTAAGCAAATTTTGTTTGATGTGTTATTATTAAAAACTAAGCACTGATTGTGAGGGATGAGAAAAATGACAGAGTGATGATGTTACCATACTTTTACATTAGAGGAGGAGAATGAGAAGTACATATCTTTATTTATTCAAATGGTCCTAGGGAATTTATCCTAGGTTTGAAAAGAAGCTATAGTTGAAATTCTACTTTGAGGGAGTGTCTATTACTATTTTATGTGTCAATTGCTACTTTATGTGTTTATCGTTTTTTTCATTTGATTGTTCACACATTGAATTTTAGGTTGATATGAAGTATGTTGGACTAAGGTCATCAGGATGTATGGCTGATTTTGTTCTATAAATAAAATTTTAAGACCTTCTGTTTATTTTGCTGATAAAATACACGCTTATTTTTTTTTAATTATAAGGGATGGAAATTTATATTGAAAAAATTATGGTTGATGTTCGATTATATATATAGAGAAAGGAGGGATTTACTTATTTTAAGCGGGGCTTTCTGTATATTTACTCTACTAAATAATTTATGTTTTATATTAAATTTTAACGATTTAATTATTGAATTAAAAATTTTAATAAATAAACAATTTTATAATTTTTTTAAAATTTGAAAACTAATTTATATTTTGTTTCATTAATTCAAATTGATAGATGATTATAAAAATATTTGATACGTTAGTTTAGATTAATATAACAAAGTATTATATAGTTTATAATTTTTTTTAAAAAAATCACAAACTTAATTTATACATTAAGAATCTTTAATCTAATAATTAACTTATTGAAATTTGATATAAAATATAAGTTATTAAATAAAATAAGTCTACTAAAATATATAATAATAGGTTTCATCTCTTTTTTTTTCTATGGACTACACATCTTTTTATTTTAAAATAATTATGTTTAAACAAGATTATTACTATTGGTAGCAAAACTCTCCCTATTATATTTCACAATTCGAATCCGAGACTTTTAGCTATATCAAAATAATTTTATGCTAGTTAGATAGATGTTTGATCTCTTTGTCTATGTAAAAGTTAAATCTTTAAATAAAAGTTAATGTCTCAAGAAATGAGTCATTTGTTTAAGTAAGAGAAAGTGAGTGAAAAATGAGTCATGGTTATGTGTGAACTCAGACAAATCTAATTGATAGTAGTATGTAGTAGTATAGTGGTTGAGAAAGTGAGAATCTTCTCCAAAAGCAGACATGACGGGGGAGGCAGGGAGCTAGTTGAAGTTGGTTGAAATTAAGGAAGAAAAGGGCATTGTGTTAAATAATTGAGGATGCGTTGTCGGAATGTACACAACTTGGGGTTTCACTACTGAAATCATAGTCTAAGCAATTTAATTATAGTTATGTGGTATTTTTTATTATTATTATTTATATATATGGCTTACACAGTATTTTAAAATTAACAATTTAAAAACTAATTTATATAAAACATGACTTTCGTTAATTAAACAATATTTTAATAATAATAAAAATTAATTTAAGGAACATTAAATCAACTCTAATGCCTTAATATAGGCCTTAAAATTATTGGACCAAGAGGGTACTTAGTCGTTATGGTATTTTTTAAATACAAGTTATGAAAATGATCAAAGATTAACATAACGGGTAAAAATGAGATTATGAATTACCCTTTTTTTTGTAATTAAAACAGATGAAAAAGGGAAATACAGATTCTAGAAGCTGTAATCTTGCTTTGTCACTAATTCTGGAATCTGTAAAAGTTAATGTTGAAGAATGCAAAAGAGAGAAAAAAGTGGAAAAACTACAACACTAAAAAATCGACTAGGACCATAAGCCATAGGAATTGGGATTCTTTTCTGTCTTAACTTGTTTTAGTTGTTACCTTTTCAATATCGTGTCTGTCTACTTTACTAGAATAGCATATTGTTGGGGTTTGTAATATGTAACCAAACTCCAGAACCACATATTTGCAGCAACTTTCCATGAGGGGATTCTAGTTGTACATGTGGATGACCACATCATAGATAAAGTTGGAATGAACAAATGATAGACAGCCTTTAGGTCTCGCACGAGGGGTATGCCCCATGGAATTTTTAATTTTATTATATCATGGTATAAACTATCCAATTCAGTTTTGTACCATGATGACCCTCTATGCTGGATGAACTGCTTCCCTCTCATGGTTTTCAATTTAACATTGGATAAGGCCTAGTCAAAAGTGTGAACCTTTTTAAGCAAATGATCAAATTTTAAACATTAGCCAGATTTTAAGAGGACTTTAATTTTTATGTATTGTTGTGGTGGAATTTTGTGGGCTTGTTGTGTCGTTTGCTACCTTTAATTCACGATAAAAAAAAATCAACTATTATTTATATATATATATATATATAATTAATTAATTATGTTTATTTTTATTCATCTCGTATACACACTAACTTTATTAGAATATTTGTGCATATTTTGTAAATATCACTTTTTATCAGTGGATGTCGTTACTTATCGGAACCTTCTCTTCATTCTTTTAATTATTGAATATTCAAAAATATTTTTAAAATTATTAAATATTATCTTATATTAATTTTTAAAATTATTAAATATTTAAAAATGGATTAATATTTATTTTTATAAAATTTAATTTAAAAATCTCAACATATAAATATATTTTTAAAATCAATTTTACTATGATGGAATCAAATTATCATATTCAACCTAACAATTTAAAATTTAAGAAATTTGAATTGACTCATCCAAACAAAATATTTTAAGAATGATAGAAATTGAAATCAAAGTAATTCAAATACCAAGAATTTAAAATTCCTCATCCAAACACACTATAAGAGTATTTACAAGAGAGGAGAATGAGAAGAAAAAAAAATAATTTTAATAAAATAAAATTAATTTGTATACAAGTTAAAAAAAATAGAAATAAATATGAGAACATATTTTCTCTCTTATATTTTATAATACGAGAAAATATTTTTTCTCTTATTTTTCATGCACATGTACTAGTGATCTCTAAATAAAAATTGTTTCTCATGGTTTTTATTTCTATGGGTACATGTAACTACATCTAATTTGCTTTCATGATGCAAACACGGATGTCAGCATTGGATTCTCTCTAGGTTGATCACTATCCCTACGAGGTTAGAATTAAGGCAAGTGCTGAACGAGCAAAGCTTCTACTAGTTGTGTTAAGTGCGCTAAGGTTAGATTTGTTCTTTAGGAGGAATTGTTAGTTTATTTCTTAAAAATTAATTCGCCTTCAGTTATAAAATAATCGTGGTCTTAATGTTTGAATGTTTTGTGCAAATATTAAAGAAATTCAAGGAAGAGTAAGTTGATTTCACTAGAATACCCTCTCAATTTAGATATTACTCTCTCATTTTCACTTACCCTGTATTTGAATTTTAAAAAAAAAAATAGACATAGCTTACCTGCCAGTTTTAAAATAAGTTTAATAGTTATTAATGAGTAATAGCATGTTTGGTCAATTTTAAATTTAGAAAAATGATCACTTATTTTTTAAAAACTCTCCAAAATTAGTAGAAGCAAATAATTATTTCTAAATTATAAGTTGAATCTTCTTGCACTAAGAACCATTTTAAAAATTTGTGAAAATGTAAAGATTCCCGTTGTGTCCTTTTAAATTATAAAATATATTTTAAAAATAATACAACTAGAGAAAATCATTTAACAATTTGGTATGATTTTTAAATTATTTATTATAAAAATTTATAATTTTACCTTACACAATTAGTTATGATTAGATAATCAGTGATATTAGATAACGATATGAAATTACTATATACCGTTAATGTATGACGTATTTTCTTTTTATTTTATGATGTAAACAAATACAGAAAATGAGTTGCATAGATTGTTATGTCTTCCTCGACACTTTCCAAAACACCAAAATAGGAACAAGTTTTTATGTCTTTTCCCCGGGCTTGCAAGTTTTCAATTGCAAACACAAGTTATCTTTCAAAGTGGAATTGCCAAATCACACATGGAACTTCCAAGATAGTAGGACTGCCAGAAATCTGAAGTTTAGGTATCAATGCCCAGAGCAGAGTCATTTCGAATCGAAATTGAGGCCTAAAGTGCTTATTTGAATGTAAAGGTTACTGAGCACCTAACAAGAATCCAAACTTTAAAAACCACAACAGAAGTGTCTCCAAATTTCTAACTGAAAGACAAATAGCGACAACAAAACCACTATTATAATTTATAAGCACCCAAAAATAAAAACCACTATATTGTGGCTTATCTTTAATAACTTCTGTATAACTACTATATTTGGATATTTATACAATAGCCAAACAAAACGGCTTGGAGGCATATGGCATATGCCCCTCTTATGTAACAAGCACCAACGCTTTGTGGGTATCATAATCCTCCCTGGAAATAAAAGAAAAGGTAAAAAACATTGCCCCCTCAGGACAACGGAACTGGGAGAACCTATCTCCCTGATCACTTTGATTACAGAATCATATGCAGCACTTGCAACTCCAAACCTCTAAAGAACAATTCATAACATGTTTTATAAAACTAAAACCACTTTCCCAACCAACTCCAAACCTGTATTATGAAATTCCATAGAATCTAATGATAAATCATTTTACTACGGCTATTCCAACATTTGATCCTGGCTGAAGTTTAGAGACTCCTTCCATATGAGATCCTTTATGTCTTCTTCGTTGAGAACTGTCTGTTCGAAATCAAAGATGAAAGGAATTGGGCAAATGGGCTCCTCGTTGATCTCATGAAGACTTGCCATGTATGGGTGATTCAGTGCTTCCTCGACTATGCAATAACGCAGTCACAAAAAAAAGAGTAAAACTTACAGATAAATGAAAGTGAGTGATAAAAAAAAAAATATATCCTTTAATTTATTTTTATAGACATTAAAAGGTAAAATTTATAAAATTATAAAAATTATAAAGAAATAAAAACCGTATGTATAGGAGGTAAGATGAACTATATTTAATTAAAAGAATTAAAAAGCAAAATTTATGAAACTATAAGGATAAAAAAAAATTAATCCTAAAAATTAAAGATGTATCAAACATAAAGAGACGTACCAGTTATGCGCTTGGAGGGATCAAAGACCAACATTTTCTCCGCAAGATCAATTGCTAACGAGGAAATCTCAGGAAACCGCTCTGCAAAAGATTGCTTTTCTACATGGGGGAGTTGTTTAACATATTTCTTTGCATTATCACTTCTCAGGAATCCAAGATCCGAGTCATTTGGTGAACCTAATAACTGTTATGAAGATAATAGTGAGGACTTTGTTCGTCAACCTTTCATCATTTGAAGCTTGCATTTACTAATTCCTACTAATTATAATTAAAAGAAATTTCAGAAGACAAAGATCCTAGCATACAATGTTTATTCCAATTCAAAACACAGCTAGTGTTAGAGAGAGGGGACAAATACCTCAGTTATAAGGGCCAACTGCTGGACATAATCTTTACCAGGAAATAAAGGCTCCCTTCTAATTATCTCCATCAAAATGCAACCAACCGACCAAATATCAATGGCTGCAGTATATTCTGAACAGTTCAGTAGCAATTCAGGGGCTCTGTACCAACGAGTGACAACATATTCAGTCATAAAGTCGGTCTCTGAGGTGGTTCTGGCAAGCCCAAAGTCACATATTTTAAGATCACAGTTTGCGTTGAGAAGTAAATTGCTTGGTTTTAGATCTCGGTGCAAAACATTTGCAGAGTGAATGTACTTCAATCCTCGCAAGAGTTGATATAAAAAGTACTGCAGTGATGATGAATAATGAATAAACCACAATTTCCTTGTTACAAATCAAATATATAGGTTTAAAATATAATGAATTTAAATTTGTAAGCTGGTGATTAACTATCAGCTTCAAGGAAAAACATCAGATCATCTGAAACTGGTCACTGAATAATTATTTAAGGTCCTCACCAACCCAGAGATAGGATTATAAACAGAGGCGAGTTTCTAATATCACTCAAGTAGTTAGGTTCCTTTTTCTTTTGTCTTAAATCCTTCATATCAAGAAGTCACTTCAGATTGTAACTATCTGAGTAGGACAATTGGCAAATGGACTCACTTACGTGATAAAGTCATCGTATTCGACTATTCGTAGCACCTATTTTCTCTCTTCAGACTAAACTTGAACCCTAAACTTTATTTAAAGAAAACCAAACTTCCTTACCATTTAGACTAAGTCCATGTTTGGATTAAAATTTGCAAACTCAAGTTTGAATAAACTACTAGTGTATTTGGACTGGTGGTAGTAAATTACGGTGAGTGTAAAATTATAGTGAAATTATATATTTGCTGCCTCAGAAAAGCACAATGAGTGCAAACTTACCATGTTACCAAACATGCACTACATTTTGCAAAATCAACCCTCCATTTTTCTTTCATTTCAAACTGAGTTTCAAAACAAATTGAGGCAAAACACAGTTTACAACCAAAGACAAACTGAAAAGCAAACAAGTGACTTAAAGTTTTTACTTTTTGAACTTATGTTAGGGACCTCTCAATTAATACCAAACATAGCCTAAACCGTTGGAGGTAGTTGTATTACATTTACAAATGAGAAGATACATTCCATAAAATTGCGTTCTTCCCCTATACCATCAAACACGGTGATCTAACCACCACTGAACAAACAGCAAAACATTCACATATCATAATATTCAATACAAAAAACAAAAACAAAAAAATTGGGGGAGGGAGACGTTGAACTCAACTTCATTGCTCTACAGTGTTCCCTCACGTACATTGCTCTATATAGTAAGTTTCGGCGTATCCTTCACACGATACGATACCCGTTTCCCACCTCACAAACTCTAGTAGGCACGACAGATGCGTATTGTGTGGGAGTCGTAACAACCCACAATAATTCTAACAAATATGTCCACATTATCCATTAAATAAGGAAAGAAATCCACTAAAAAGAATAATTAAATAAACTCTCAATGTCCTATTACTATAAATACCTCACCATAGTCACAAATCAAACCACTCATGTCATTCCTCTCTCTTCTCATACCAATCCAATGCAAACATTTGCACACATCATGCACTCAATCCCATTCTTTCCTTTTGCATTTTAATCTATTTGGTACAAATTTAAAAGAGCTTCTCTAGTATAAAAACTCTTTTCTTTTTTCTGGTATAAAAATTTTCAAAAATTCTTCTAAATTTATATACAAGGAGACTCTAATACTCGCACTAACTTCTCGCATTCTTTCCTTTTCAAAGGCTCACAAGGGTCAGAACATGCCTAACAACTCAAGAAACACTTACAAATATACTTGTAGATTACCCAACAACGACATCATTACATTACATTACATTAGCTGCGATATTTAAGTTCACCTTGTAAGATATGTGTCTTATCCATATCCTTACCAATTAAACCAAAAAATCAAAAACCACTTACAACTATACTTACAAACGGCCCAAAAATATCAGCATTACATTATATAGCAACAAGATTCAAACTCAACATTTTGTGGGATGAGTCTTGTCCAGAACCTAACCAATTAAATCAAATATACTTAAAGATTCCACTAACTACATCATTATATTATGGGTCTGGTTGACTACAAATTAAAAACACTTTTAAAAGTTTCTCAAATAAAAATAAGAATATTTTCTAGTAAAGAAAACAAACTCTATATCAGCAACGAAATTCAAATTCACATTTTTGTCGAAAGAGTCTTATTCTTATCCCTACCAATTAAACCAAGCATTTGACTAACACTTACACTAACTATCACGCACTTCCAGACACTCGAACATTCACCAGCACGTGCACACTTACATTTCTTCTATTTAGCAAACATTCCAAGCAATTAGCAGCATTTAGCAATAAGTAAAATCACGCACGCAAGCAAATGCTTACCTGGCAGTGCTCATCCGTGAGAGCTTGATTAGACTGTATAATCTGATGCAGGTCGGTGTCCATCAATTCGTACACAATATACACATCATTGAACTTTTCCCTTTCCGCTGGCCGAATTATGTCCTTAATTTTAATTATCTGCATAACATAAACACCAAATAGAGCAGCCACGAAAATGCACAAATCACTATTCATTTCTATAAATCACAAAACAGCGCTTGCTTACGTTATCATGCTCCATGTGACAGAGAAGCTTGATTTCCCTGAGCGTCCTCTTGGCGTCGATTCTGTTGTCGAAGGCGTTTCCGATCTTCTTTATCGCAACTCCCTCTTTGGTCTCGGAATTCGTGGCGCAGCTGGTGAGTAAATTGTTGCCGATTTAATTTAAATAGATGAATGAATGAATGAATGAAAATGAAAGTGAAAAGCGAGTGTTGAGAGAGTAACCAAACGATGCCGTATGCGCCGCGTCCAACGGGTTGAAGAGGAGGAGCGTACTTAGCATAAACTTCGAAAAGGTTGCCTAAGACGTTGTAACGCACGTATTTTCCTCCGTGAATGGGGATTCCTTTCCCTTTCGTTTTCTCTGATTCAGCGTTATTTTCCATTTCTGATTTCTCTCCGACACAGCGAAGCGAGGAAAGTGAGGATTGAAAGAGTTTGGGTTTGGAATTAGGATTATTATTATTATTACTATGCTCGCTCGCTCGCTATAAAACAAAGGGTGCGTGTGGGTCACAGTGGCTGGCTTTTGCTTTTTTGGCGTTTGGATTTTTCAAATTGAATTTCAAATGTTCAAATTAATGCGTTCTTGCACTTGTCATTGCTGATTAGCGGTGAAAATCGCGTTAGTGGACTAAAAAAGAAAAACCGAACAAGTGTGAGAATTTTCTTTCGAAATTCAGTGGCGTATGAGAAATCCCGCCTTCTTTCTTGCTGCCATATTTGGGCTCATGGAGCAACGATGTCTACCCGAAAGCCCATAGGGCCCAAGGATAGGCCCAAATACAGCAACAACATGGCCTTCTTGGTAGCTGCTTCTATAAATGGAAAACAAAATACACCTCCATTATATGATCAGAACACCTTTTTTTAAAAAAAATATATATTAAAATATTTTTTATTTTTTATTTTTTGGTATCTAATATTCAAATTAGTATTTTTTTATTATTTACATACATTTTTTTTCTTTTTTTGTTTGACTCATGATACACATATATATATATAATATATTATAAGTACATCTCTTTTTTTTTTAATAAAAATAAATTCTTAAAATATCATGAATCTAAAAAAATAAGGAGAAAATTATAAATTAAACAATAAAAGAGTAAAATTAAAAAAAAATACAGAATAAAAAATTAAAGATATTTAAAAAAATAAATAAGAAGGTGTACTTATAATAAAAAGGTGGTGTATATATGATGAGCCAAACGAAAATCCATCTTGTGGGCCTAAGAAGGAGAGCCCAAACTAGAGGGGCTTCTCCAATTTATTTCGAGGCAATACTTTTGCCATTCTTTTCTTATTTATACGCTCTGCGTTTTCGGTATTTTTTTAAAATGTCCTTTTATAATTAAAAGTTATCATGTATTTATCATAAATAACTGAAATATTATATTAATGGTAATTTTTTAATAATTGACAAGATAAAAGTGATTTACATTAATAGTAATGGTCCTTAAACCTGTATAGTATGATTGACCAAATCATGTATATTAAATTAGAAATATCCATAATGCTATTTAGATTTTTTTAAGTAAATTTTTTAAAAAATTTATTTTAAATCAAATACTAATTTATCTTCCATAAAAAAATACTTATTTATCTAACTTCAAATATTTCTATATATGTTTTGAATTGTTACGTCAATTGATAATGATTTTGTCTTGCATTTTACTTGCTGCCACCATGCGACAAAACAAAGCACACTCGTAAGCCTCACCTCACTGGCTAACTTCATCACTGAGTGATGTATAACACGTGTGAGTTGTGACGCGTTCATAGCAATTTCTTTGTGGGAAAGCAGCACGAGACTGGACTTGAAGTTTTCCAAGTGTGTTTGAGTTGAAATTGCTGAGAAGTGAGAACATGAAATTTGTCGCTATATATGAAAACGCAGTTGACATTGAAAAAAAAAAAAAAAAAAAGATTATAATATTGTCAAATTAAAAGCTTGGAATCTTCCTCATGCACTTGTCAAAGGTTTCACGCATCTAAAATTAATTTCAAAGAGATATTAATTATAATTTCCACATTTGGTATAATGTCAAAATGGTTAAGTGACCGAAAATTAGTTTAATTTGTTATTCTAAATTAAAAGATCGGTAATAAAAAAAAAATTGTTGAGTAAATCATATAGAAAACAAGAAAGTGATAAGAAAAAATTAGACAGATAGATATTTTTTTCTCAAGTCGTTATAATAATTCATATCAACCAATGTTGGTTGTAGAACATCTTCGGTCCATCCAATACATTTCATTAAATTAAAAAGTAAATTTTACTAATTTGTCTACTACGAAATTGCGTAGACATTTTGTGAAAGATAGATTGCATTATGAATTGAACCACATCGCACCTATTACACAACCATTAGTAATTTCTTAGAATTTTCTCCTTGATTTAGGTTGTCTCATGTTCCACCGTTGCATCAATGTACCAAGCAATTTCTTCTTCTTTTTTTATTTATTAAGAGGCTAACCAAAGGTTCGAAGTTAATTTGAGTAACATCTCATCATTCATCAACGCCATTACTTCTGTGTACACGTGATGATACGTCTTTCTTTTTTCTTTTTTTTTAATTGTCTTGTCTAGAAAAATTAATGTCGCTAATTAAAACTAAATAGAAACTATAACTTTGGATTGTTTAAAAAAATTTAGAGACAAAATTAAATACTTTAAAAACAAAAGAATGAAACTGAACCAATTAAATAAATAAAAGTGATAAGAAGAATGATATAGTATTTTTTTTTCTCTCTTCCTATTATATTATAATTATATTATCCATCATATTTATATTTTTCTCTCATTCATTATATATGTGTTAGAATTATTATATTATCCATCATATTTATATTTTTCTCTCATTCATTATATATGTGTTAGAATTAGTATTGAGTTGAAGCTCATAATTTATAATATTGTATATAAAAAAAGAGATATTTCTTTTGGTAATTATTTTGGTCTACTTTTATAAAAAACTATTTTATGTTTTTTTAGTTTACTTAAAATTTGAAATCACACTTCTCTTTTAATATTTTTTTGTCTCAAATTGCTTATCTTCTTTAAATAATTATTCACTTTATTATTTATTTTATTTTTTAAAATTTTATTTTAAAAAATAGAGGCCTAAATTCCATTTTTACCATAATAATTTTTAAAATCAACAAATAAAATAAGATCATGATGATTTTTTTTTCTAGGTAAAAATGCATAATATTAAAAAAGGAGTATAATGAATACTCCAACTAATACAAAACTAAAACTTAACCGAGTATATTAGTAATAAATCAGCAATTTACCGAATACAAATTATTAAAAACAAATCGTATCCCTGCAACCCTTGTAAGATCATGATGAATTGACCATAAAATTAACTAGTTATTTGTAAAATTTATAGTAAGCTTAACTCATCATCAATTTAAACGCTCCCCAAGTATCGAGTAACATTTTTAAGTCTCTTCCATAAAGCTTCATCTTTGGGTGGCAGTGTCATGGGAGGCTTTTAGATGCAAAAACAGTGTTGATAAAACATTAATGCGGGTAGGTATAGCCCCAACTCTCCCAAAATAACGTGTCAGGTAAGGGGTTGACCTATTATCAAAGAGGAAAATTATATTTCTGTAATAATTCTATAAAATATTATTTCTTTTATCTATCTTTTTCACTCACATGACAAAGAAAAACAGACAAAAAAATGTTTATCAAATTATTATATGAATAATTGTATATCATTGTTTTAAAAAAAAAAAGGAATTATAAAAGTTAACTCATTATACTCAAATGGCTAATTATTTTATTTCCTTTATATTTATTTTTAAGATTCAATTTAGTCACATTATTTTAAATTATAAAATTTGATCTTTTAATTTTTTTAAATTATTACGTTGTTTTTTGTTATCTAAATAGACATTATAACAGAGTTAACGAAATCAAGTAAAAAAGATAACACTAAATTTAAAAAAAAAATTAGATGATTAAATTGAATACTTTAAAACATAATGAGATCAAAATGAATATTTTAAAAAATAGAGTAATCAAATTGATAATAATTAATAAAATAGGTAAAATATATATATTAAATAGGTAAAAGAAAACTTAAATTTAACTATAAATTTTTTTTAGTTAAATTATTATTTAATTTAAGTTTTCTATTTTTTGAATGTTCAATTTAGTCTCAGTTGTTTAAAATGATTAAATTTGATCATTTAATTTTAAGAAAAAAAGTTGAATGTTGTCCTTCTATCTAATTTTATTAAAAGTTGTTAGTGACAATTTAACAAAAAGATAACATTAAACATTTTTTAAAAATTAAAATATTAAATTAACCATTTAAAAATAGTCTAATCAAATTGAATTTAAAAAAAATAAGAAATATAATTCAACCTACTTAACAAAAATATTTTTTTGTTAACTATTATACAATGATAATATAGTATTATACTATCAATCAATTAATATTCTCCATAAATTGATTTTTTAGTTATTTATTATAAAAGTCAACAATTAATTATAAATAATAATTTATAATTATATATTAATATAAAATTACTTTATACCCTTGTGACATCACCTATTTTCTCTCGACTACAAATAGCACAAAACAACGATTAATAAAGATGAAACCAACGAGTAATTTTTTTTTAACAACCATACAAGTAAGAAACAAGACAAAAACCATCTCTTTATGAAACTATTACTTTTTTCTATCAAATATTTTCGTACTAGACAAAACGTCCATCCTACAAAATTGATCAAAAACAAAATAGTTTCATTATTAATCTATTCCGACCCGATCCATGAGCTCAGCACCCAAAAATCAAGGAAGCACAATCATTTTATTATTATTAGCAAATATTTGAAGCCCACTCATCGTAAAAAGTGCTGCCATCAATTGGTGAAAGAAATTCTCGTTTTTCCATCTCTAAAATTCTTCACAGAACCGGTCAAAGTGGATTCTTTTTAGTTTTCAGTGCGACCGATTAGTCAACTTCTTATTAATTCATTCTTTTCAGCTACAATTTCTGACATCTAATCATTTTTTTTATCATTTGAATGAAAAATTATATTTTTTGGCATGCAGGTATCATGTTGCATGGGATTATTAATTTCGGCACGCAAATGATACATATAAGGGTTTGTTTTGGTCCCCTAATATAGCTCAATCATGTTATTAAACATTAAGGTTTAAGGTTTAAGGATAATTCAACTTCGAATATGACTCGTCAAAAAGAAAAAATAGAAAGGTAGTTCAAATACGTCTATGAACTTTATCAAAGGTTTAAGAAAGGTACTCCTTTATTCGACAAGAAGATCAGAACCTGAAGGAAGTTATATATATTGTTCCCGAAAAAGGAAAAAAAAAAAAAAAAACTGAATATAGGGCAAAATTTTCCTTTATGCTTTAGAAAAGCTTTATTGAAAAATTGAAGTAATATGCCATAACAGAAACTGACTAATGATCAGTGATAGAAAATCGTGTAGGCACCGATCACTAAAAAGTTGACACAAAACATATCCACATACATAGGTAAAAAAACAAGAAAATTTTCCTCCAAAAAAAAATAAAATAAAAATAAACAGATCAAGCATTTGCTTAGGACAAGGGAATACTTATCCCCAAATTAAGTGGGTAATTAAGTTAGAGAAATTAAAAACCGCAACCCATGTCCTCATCGTAGAAAATTCGTCAAAATCGTGGTTAGATAATGCGAAAAAAAAAATATATATATCATACATGAATAATTAATCATATACATACACACATCAATGTCTCTGCAAATATATTCCCATCCCATAGTATCAATCAATATATACGCATAAGAAACTACTACTACCGAACATGGTAATTCCCTCTCTCTTTTTTTTGTTTTGTTTGTACTTTGTATAAAAGAATTTAAACATAAAAAATAGTAAAACGAAAATTTTAATTGAAGACGCCCGGCAGAGACTAACCGGGATCCGAAGCCGGTAACCGGTTAGCCGGGTCGGGTCGAGCCGGCCCGGCTAGGGCGAGGCATCGGAGTTGTTAGCACTGGAATGGGTGGCGTAGAAGAAGTGAGAGAGGTTCCGTTTTGGGCTTGTCCGTTAGCGTTTGGGCGTGCAAGGCGAGCAGCAGCGGAAGACGCAAACGCCGTGACGGAGTTGACGAAACCTCTGAGAATCCTAATCATGACTTGGCCTCTCCTGGGTGGGAGCGTAGCATAGCCGTTGGATGCGGTGCGGTCCATGTGGGTAGGAGGAACCGGAGAGAGAGCGAAGGGTAGAGAAGAGAGAGGGTACGGTTAGCAAAGTTCTCGCTTTTGTTTTCGCAGTGGGTGGAGAAGGAAGTGAGAGTGAGAGGTATTATATAGACGCGCGTGGGACGGTGGGAGGCATGTGAACGGAGTTTTGGTTTCTTTGAATTGGTGAGCCGAAGAAAGAGAGGGTGCGTGATAGGCACATGACCCTCCAGTTTCCGCAAATTCCACACTTTCAAAAACGCAGAAACTTCGCCTCCAAGATTCGTTAAATTCATAACACAACTTAAATTCACTTACTAAAATGTTCATTAAAGATTATAAATAAATAAATTTTAAAAAGATGAAAAAAAGCATTTTACACGAATCAATTTCAAAATATGTTTATTTTACAAGGTCCCAAAATAATATTTGTTACAAATTTTAAAAGAAAAAAATTAACAAAGACTAACATAAAGAATTGTTTGTTTTATATAAACTGAAAACATATTTAACTAATTTTTTCACAATTTAAATTAACAGAAAAGAGGCATTTCATGCCTCCTTGTATATTAAAAAAAATTAAAGTTAAAATAATTAAAATTAATCATATAATCATTCACAATTAGTAATTGAAAAAATAATTTGAGCGGTTTTTGAGTATTTATAAATAGAGGAATAATATAGAAGTTATAAAAATAAAATAATTCAAAATTTATTATATATATATATATATATATATATATATATATCCCATTTATTATCAACTAGCAATGAAAAGAGACATTTCATGCCTCTATATATTTATTTTTGAGAGAATTTTAAAAGAAGATTGTTAAATCTAAGTGTAATAATATTCAATACAAAAATAAAAATTAAAATGGTGGTTACCATTACCAAGACCTATCCCTTTATAATAAGTATAAATATAGGTATAATACTACTTTTAATTAGAATATATATGTTATCATGTCAACATAAATAGAAAAAATTGCTATAACTTATTTTGAAGTTTATCAAAATGAAACTTATCACCCTTTTATTTTATTATTAATTGACATTTATTTTCCTTATATTATAATTTAACTTTCACCTGTTACCCCCTTTTTTCAATGTTAGTTTATTTATATGTTAAAACTTTTTTTTTTCTATTTGTACTTTTTGCTATTGATAAAAAGTGCACAAAATCATTAGTGTCATTCATTGGTGGATTATACAAAGAAACAAGTGATCAATTATTTTACCTACATAATTTTTAACATTTATTTATAATTTAATTGAAGTTAAATAAAATTAACATTAGAGAAGTTCTTTGTTTTTTCAAGAACTAGAGAGATAATTTATGTTATTTTGGTTATCTTTAAAGGAAGTCAATGCAATTTTTCCTTATAAATAATATCAAGAGTTTCTAATTTAATTTGTTAAATAAGATGTATGAGTGTTTATAAATTTCTTTGCTACTATGTTTGATTTTCATAAATAAAAAAATATCAATGTGAATGATGAAACTTTATGTTATAAATTAATATAAGCTACTATATTTATTTGTTTATTATAAAAGATAAAATATTTTATAGATCAAAATTATAATAAATAATATTTTAATTAAAATTTATAATAAATAAATATCTTTGGATATATAAAATTATATTTTACATTTATAGATTATGATACGAAGTCATTTTAAAAAAATATATATTAAAATTTAATGTATAAATAAAAATAAAAATGATAATTTAAATTTATTAAGAGATAAATATTTACATAATTGCGAGAGTAGAATGTGAAATATACATCACATAAGAAAAATTAAGACTATTAGAAATACCTAATTAAGCCAATAGACACTCTTATTCTCTAACTATATATTATAATTTATAATATATAAATAAATAAAAATGAGATAAATTTTAATTTAAATAGTAACATTAAAAATATCTTAAAACTATATTTAGGTTTTGTGGTTAATTAAATGCATGTTAACAAAAAAAGATTTCAAAACAAAAAATGAATTATTTTTTAATGATATATTTGTAAAAAAAACCTATTATTTTCAATAATTGAAATTAATGTGTATATAAGGTTTTTTTGTTCGTTTTATATGATATTATAAATTTATAAAATTGCTTGTTATCAGTACCATGAATGGTTGCAAATTCTGTCACTATTAGTATTACAATAAGGAGATTCCATTCCAGGGATGAGAATTGTGAGTGAAATGCCTTAATTAGCAAGAAACGCGGAATCCAACTGCGTTCTTTGCTTTTATTTTTTGTGAGTAAATTAGGTTCCCATCTCTTAGGATTATAATTTATAGGATATAAAAGTATTATTATTTTTTAATGTTAAAATATATAATTTAATTTAATATATTAACATAATTTTTTTTTATGAGTGATATAAATATCACACTATCCACTTTATATATGTTAAAATATAAGATAAATAACACTTATCCCCTTAAAATTTTAAGTATCATATTATCATTCTTTTATTTTAAGATTTTTAAAATAATTCTTAAATTAATTATTTATAAAAAGTTATACTTTTAATTTAATTATTCATAAAAATATAATTTTAATAGAAATGTATTTTAAAACATTTATAAGTTTATTGCCATTCATTCATTGAATTAAAAAAATTGTAAAATATTTACCCAGCGGCAACTCACCAAGTTCGAAAATTTGCCCAAAAACCTGCAAAAATCCACATTTCCAACACATGCAATCCATTCAAGATGCCACATTTTCAATCAACAGCTCAAAAACACCACCTTTTTACACATGCAACCATAAAACAAGTGAAAGTCTCAAATTTTCATCAAAAACCCCAAAACCCCAACAAGACCCATCTTCACCAAAACTCAGCCAAACATCCAACTTCAACAACTAATGAGTTTCTTGAACTCATATACATCCAAAAACAGTGAAAAACTAGCTTCCCTTACCTCGGTGTGAAAATTTGAGCTTCCGGGAAAAAGACAATGGAGAAGAAGAAACTTGAAAGAGATGGTGAACGGAGAAGGAAGAAGGAATCCGTGCGTCTGCAAGCTTCTCAACACCTACTCAGCAACTAAGTTCACCACACCCAGCACAAAGGAGAAGAAATCAGCCACAAGGAAAGAGAGAAAAGGAAATGAGAGTAAGTGAGTGAAAGAGTGAAAATGAGGGAAGAAAAGAGAAATAAGAGAGGGTCTCACATTAATAATTATATATATAATTTTTTATTTAGCAATATTAAGTATATATATATATATATATATAATTTTGGTGAAATTTATAATAATTTTTAAAAAGTAATTAAATATATAAATTAAGAGATATATTATTAAAGTATAGTATGTTTAAATTTTTTTAAGGGAGAAAATGTTTATAAGAAGGGAAGATGGTGTAATATTTATATTTTTTTTAGGAGATATTAGTGTAAATGGTATTTTGAAAATAATTTTTTTGTAATGAAAGTTAATGAAACTTTAAAGAAAAATTTAAAAAATGGATAAAGTGTTATAATTAGAATCTATCAAAGAAGGATACTGTAATTTTTAATATACGAGAGCTCTCAAAGAAAAAAAAATGTAATTTATTTATTTTTTATTCAATTAATTAGTATTTATCAACATTTTTTTAGTAATGTATTTATCAACAATTAAAAAACTATAAAATGACCCTTTTAGTAATATTTACGAAATAAATACAGCGAATAGGATTCTTTGTTTTACATTATTTTTCGGGACTTCAAAAAATGCTAAATTAAATACGAATGAGTTATTTTTTTAAGAAGTAAATTAGATTTGTTTCTTAATAAAAATAATATTTTATTAAAAATAAATTTAAACAAGCAGACCTATAATATCTGCATTTAAAGATGACTTCTCAAATTATAATATCTGCATTTAAAAGATGACTTCTCAAATAAAAACATCTACTGTGCGTAAAAGTTTTGAAAGTGATACGTTTATATGTGCAAACTATTATTAAAAATATCTTTTGGATTTAAAAAGTTATGTCAAATTTACCGAAAATCTGTTTGAATGTAGGTTTGAAATTTTTTTTGAGGATTTTCCTATTGAAAATACTCTTTATTTTTAATAATAAAAAATCTTAAAAATATTTGTAATTTGAATTTAATCATACTCTTAATTAATAATTTTTAGTATTTTTCAACTATGGTTTTAGGACCTTGGATCAACCACTAGCAAATGCAATGAACTAAATTTTGTTTATTTTTTTAAATATTTATTCTATAATTTCACTTACTTTATTTTTTAATCACTATAACTTAAAAAATAAAATTTTCTAATTCTTATACTTATCTTCTTGATTATTTTTAGTTTTATAATTTAAGATAATTTTTTGTGTCTCTTTATATCAGTTTTTTAATCATTTTTATTTCTATCATTATTTTTTTTTAATGTTATATGTTTTATTTTAATGTAAAGTTTTTGGTCTTCAATTTTGTAAGAGTAAAAAAAAATATCTTCACAATTTGTGATAAAAAAAGACACAAACACATTGAAAAACCTAATTTAGAGAAATTTCAACAAAATAAATTCGACATCAGACACACAAAATTAAATTAATATATTTGTTACATTAATATGAAAGAGATCACGTTACAAAAAGATTAACGACAGAAATTAAAAGAATTAAAAAAATTACAGATATAGACAAAAAAAAAATTCTTAAACTATAATAACTAAAAAAGGATTAAAAAAATAAAGATTACAAAATTTATTTTAAACTATAGAAATCGAAAGATAAAATAATAAAAAGTATAAAATAAAAAAATATTTCAACCTATTTCATTGCATCGATTAATACCTAGAATATTCGACCAATATAAAGACTTATTAGAATTATAACTAACTAAAGTTGACCAAAATCCAATTTAAACACTCATTAGTATTTATTTATTTTAGTTACTAATTAGCATCTTTCGTTTTAAGAAATGACTTGTCTCGATAAAAACAAATGAATAAACAAATGTTTCTATATATACCAATAAAAACGATACTAAAATATTACTACATTGATTAAAGTTCTATATTATACCGGGGAGGAAAAACTTCAAGGAAATAAGTACATTTTAAAATTGTATTTTTTTTTCTTTTATCAATTTTGGGGAAAATATTTAAAATGCTGGAAAAGTGTTTTTTCAAAAAAAAATAATTAAAGATGAGCTAAAAAAACTTGAAAAATGTTTTTACAAAACTTATTCGAACTTATAAAGAATTGTCTTGTGATTCTTATAAATTAATTTTGAGTAATTCTGTAACATCATTTCGATCTCTCACCAAAGAGATGGAATATGAGGACCGAACGAGAGCTTTAGGTGGATTCTTCGGAGTGGGAGGTACCTGCAAAAGATACTCCGATGCTTAAGTCAGTGTGGGCACGATTTTCTAGGGTAATGAATGAACAGTGACATACCTTGTTACGTGTGACCTATTTATAGCATCTGACATGGGCCTGAGCGTGATGGGCCCTCTCAGATATTTACCAAATTAGTCATAACAAGTAATCACAATCAAGAAAGGTAAGTACATGATTAAAGCCTAAACGACCAATTAGTACCGTATTACCTAATTTGGTAAATATCTGAGAGGGCCCATCACGCTCAGGCCCATGTCAGATGCTATAAATAGGTCACACGTAACAAGGTATGTCACTGTTCATTCATTACCCTAGAAAATCGTGCCCACACTGACTTAAGCATCGGAGTATCTTTTGCAGGTACCTCCCACTCCGAAGAATCCACCTAAAGCTCTCGTTCGGTCCTCATATTCCCCTGAAGATTACGAGTGTACCCTCAGACAGGTACAATTTGTATGTGTCCATTGCTGTTTAGGTTTTGATGATTGATCTTTTTTTAATGGTTGTGTTCTTATGCACTCATTTTAGTTGGAACACCAGAAGGACTATATCCTTTTATTCATTGAATGCTTACTACTTAATGCGTTATTTTTCATTTTCTAGTTCCTGTATTTTTTTACTAGTTGATTTTTATGATTTAGAAGTTTTACAACTATTTGAAGGACAAACGGATTTGTTGTTATTTATTATAAGGTGAATCTTCTAAACAGTGTTTAAGTGCAACTCCTTCGAATCTTAACAAAGATGAGTTGATAGAAGCATTGCATTGGGCTTTGGTGGTTGTATATAAAAACTGATAAAGGTTTCCAAGAGAAAGATATTTATAGTTTATTCCTTTTAGTGTTTGATCTTTTCTCTGTTAATTATTTGTTAAAGACGGAATTCATGTACATCAAATTGAATCTTCATCCTATTTTTTGTGGTTATCTATCACTCAAATGCTTCCATCAGCAACTCAAACCCTAACGCTTCCATCCGCGTTGGAGACACTGAGAGAGGAAAATGTACAAGAACCAGCTTCAGGAGCTGGCCCAACGAAGCTGCTTCAACATCCCTTCCTACACCTGCATTCGGGAAGGCCCCGATCACGCCCCTCGCTTCAAGGCCACCGTCAACTTCAACGGCGAGATCTTCGAGAGCCCCCACTACTGCTCCACTCTCCGCCAG